GATAAAACTCATATCCTGGCAAAATAGCCACATGGCAGCTGAAAACTGTATACCCTAGCTTGTCATGCATTCTTTCCAAAAATCGGGACTTTTTAAAAATGCCGTGGGACGTGGGAAAAATTGTTAAAAATTGGGACTGTCCCGCCAAAAGCGGGAGTCTGGTCACCTTTTTTATATGTATAGCTAGATAGCTATAGGTAGTTAGCCGGATACAGCAACCTGGCACAGTACTAAAGGATTTAAATTTGTTTTCTGGTGATCCTTAAGTCTTTTCAGCTACATAAACTCAAACATCTTCATTGTGTGCATTCCGTGGCTGTGGCATTTCTTAGTATATATTTCTGTGGTGTTTCTTAGTGTGGTATCTGCCTCCACAGCAAGTTGTCCTACCTTTAGCTCCAGGAAATCCTTGATCTCCTTGATCCCCTTTAATTCCCTGGATTCCTGGGAGACCTTTCTGACCTAGAAAAAAAATAAAAGTACAAAATTGCTTTTCCATATATATAAGCAAATTATGTAAGCACGCATATACAGTGACTAGGTTTCTGATCTATCCTTGTGTGAGAAAAGTGTATTTCTAGCTATCTGTGTGGTGAAATAAAAGTGTATTTCTAGCTATCAGGTAAGTGTTGGAGCGTGAGTCACAAGGGCAGCAGTACAAACACACCAGCTGCTCTGACGGAGAAAGCGGAGGCGATCTGCTCCTGTAAAGATGTACAGCCTCGCAAACACTCGGAATCAGAATTGACCCGATGGCGATGAGTTTTTTAAGTGTATGCAAAAAGTTAAGTGAGACTTTTGTTCCTAGAACCATGAAGCCCTATTTGTTCTGCCGAGAAAAGACAAAGGCTAGTGACCAATGGAGGAACATGTGGCATCGTATTTGGTCACAACTGGGTTTGCAGGTTTCCCCATGTAGAACAAAAAAACATCTGTGAACTGGGACTTCACTCTATTCATTTGCCACAAGCATCCGTTTCAAAGACAAAAATCAGTGCCTGGAAGCTGGTAGGAGCCCATTAAATAATGTCTAATAAATTGATTAATAAACCACCTCCATCACTTTTAGTCAAATGTAAGTGCCACGGATTCTTAATCAGAGATCCAGAATGTCTTTGTACAGCCATTCGTAGGATTAGGAATATTGGGCTGCCCCACAGAACATGGTGTTTGTTATTTGAAAAGAATAACTCAGTCTAGGACTGGGAATACACGGCTGTCCATTCAAACAGCTTCTCCTGTACTTCAAAGTCTTACCCTGGAATCCTGGGACACCTGGAAGTCCCACATCACCCTTAGCACCTGTGACTCCTGGAGACCCACCAATACCCTGGGGAAAACAAGAGAGATGGCGATTGGAAATGCTCTAGAGACATTTAGCAAGCCTCTCAAAGAAACTTCACAGTACAGAAAGCTGAGAAAGAATTGCACCCAAGATTTGTCAACAAATAGTTCTTCTAGTTTCTTGAATGGTGTAAAAAGGAGGGCAAATGCACGGTGTGTGTCTAATTTCGGAAGACTGGCCATTTCAATGGTTTGCTTCCTTCACCTCCTCTCTGGGCCCATCTGCATGGTGAGTTCATGGAGAGCAGAGAGCGCTGTGCACCCCCCATGCCTCGAGGGCAGTCAGAAGTCAATGAACGTGTTATGAAAACACAGGGATCCGTGACAAAAAGGAAAGTCACAACAGGTTCACTCAAAACTTTCCTCAAATTCTCAAGCAGAAGGACTTGCCTTCTTAAAAATGTTTCAGACCATTGAGGCAAAGTGACTTTCTCAATAGGTAAAGATGGAAAAGATAATAGAAGACATTTCTTTGTAGATAGCAATATCCGGGAAGCTTAACTCTTCCTTGTGATTTCAATACAGTTGCACCTTTTTCTAGTTATGGATAACCACACACTCACAAACACACACACACACATACACATGCTGTTTCTTGCATGGATATTTTTGCTTGCCCTACCTTATTTTTTTAAGTGGCGTAACTAAAATACCTGCAATATAGCACTACTGGGCTCATTAGATAACCACACGCATTGCATTATCAGGTTATAGATACAGTATTCTGGAGAATACCATAAGGTTTTGAATAAGAGGAATGGGATCAAAAATATCATTGTTACTCCAAAATAGCCTGTGTGCATGACTGTTTATAAACTTTTCATGAGTTTTGATTCCTAAGTAAGCGACCTCACTTTCTAGTTTCCAGTGCTTATTAAATTTACATGTGGTCATCCAGGATCTGGCCATGAGCATGTGCTCTGATGGCTCTAAAATATGTCTTCTTCGTCACTGGTAGACGATAAAGAACAACCCATATTACTTTAAAAAAACACCCCACTTGCTTCTACGTTACTTCACCTATGTCTTGCTAAAATCCCTCCAGTCTCCACTCTGTCCCCACCATAGCTTCCCTTTGTGTGTGTGCATGAATGCATGAATGAGTGGGGGTAGATGAGGAGAAGACATTAATCTCTACCAATGCACTTTGTACCCAACACACACAAACACAACCCATTTAGCCACAAGTGAGGTTAAGCTGAAAATCAGACCACCTCTTTACCCAAGAATGCCTACATATTTCAACAATGAAGGGAATCTAAGTAATTAAAACACAAGAGACAAGACAACCAAAGCAAGGCAGCACACAGCCTCTATCACTGGTTATTGATTACCCCCGGAACCTGGAGCGTCTGAAGGCATCCGGACATCCCAATGATGATGTCAGCTGCTCCTCCCCAGTATTCCAGACCTGCTGCCAGTTCTGAGGGATGCCCGGGCTCGTTTTATAGCATTGCTCTTTACGAAAACCAACCCCGAGTATCACCAACGGGCTTGCTTTTCACCGTCAGTTTATAAATAGTCTTTTTTAAAAACTCAAGGCCCAGAGCTGTCATTTCCAGGATTGTAACATTTCTGTTTTAATAATCCATATAAATCTAGATTGTAAAATATTTCATAATAGCTGCCTAGTCTCAGGCTAATGACGAGAACTGGTTTCTGACAAGAAGAGAGGAATTAGAGACGATGTAGAGTGCAGGCCACATGTATATTCACGCCCACATGTACACATAGATCAGAGAACAGATCAGGGATCTCCTTTTCAAATGAGGGGGGGGAAAAAGGATGAAGCAGGAAGTCTACAAATCAATAACTCACAGGCATGCCTTGGAATCCTGGGTCTCCCTTGGGTCCTGGCACACCAGGAGCTCCTGGCCAGCCTGGACTTCCTTTGTCACCTTTTAGTCCATCAAGCCCTGGGAGCCCTGGGGGCCCCATGGGTCCCGGATGCCCTAATGGAAGACAAAGCCATACATTCAAACTGGGAAGGTGTTATTATGCACAGGTGGCTGCGGGCTTGGGGCCGGCTGGCTCTCACAACATCCTGTCAAACAGTGTGTGCGCGCAGCAAATCAAGGTAAGGCCCAAAGGAAGACTTTGCACAAAAGCCCCCAAGGAAGGTTGATATAAATATGACAAGTTCCATTTCCAAAACCCTTTGGACCCGGTGCCCAGGGATACTTTGGTGCCATTGCCAGGAACCTTGGTTCAGTGTGCCAGCAGATTTGCTGGAATGCCGGGTTGACTGATGACCGACATAATTCTACACATGGTAGATGTCCTCCCGTCTATGAAAAGATTTCCCTTCTCATCTCCTCAATGGCCTCTCACACATTCTACATTCCTTGACAGAAGGGGTGCAAGGAAAACGCTGACCCAGCAGAGACCAAAAAAGTAGGTGACCCCACAATCTTAAGCAATCTGAAACTGGGATAACTTAACAATATGTAAGTGCTACTGACTCCTAAAGGACATGCTGATCTGAAAAATCAAGTATTCAACCTTCCCTGATGCTCAGTGTACTTTCTGACACCTGTGGAAGGACCGTCGTCATTTTGGTTCAGACTCCAGCTCTTAGCAGGTGTGACACGTGGTTCAACCGCCTTACCTGGCAGGCCAGGCTGGCCCTGAGGTCCACGGTCTCCTTTGGGTCCCTCCACGGGTTGTCCTGGAGCACCGGGGATTCCTGGCTGTCCTTGTGGCCCGGGAGGACCCATGTATCCTTGTTCTCCTTTGGGCCCAGGAATTCCAGGAGTTCCAGCCAATCCTGGGAAACCCACGTCACCCTTTGACCCTAAACAATAAAAAGAGTTTGAGATACGTAGTGGAATTTCACGGAAGAAGAGAAAAGCACAGTACACGGTAAGGACACGTATAAAACGTTGACCATCCTCTCGTTGCCCCCGAGCTGGGTTGCCTGCAGGCACCAAGACGGAAACAGGAGCTCAGCGATCTTTTCTGCCCGTCTGACTCAATCGAAACAGGAGCTCAGCGATCTTTTCTGCCCGTCTGACTCAATCACACACTGGACTCCTGCCACGGCCCGGACTGAAGAAGTGTCAATGTAGACGACAAAGAACCTGGCTGTAGTCTTTGATGCTTGTTCAAAGACGGTCTCAAGCAAAGGCATTGAGTCTATGCTTAGATCAGTCCCTGTGCCAGTGCATCACTAAAAGGAAGGGCTGGTTCCATCAGCAGGTGAGTGAATGAACAAAGGAGAGCCAGACCATGGAACAGGAATTGGCAACACAAACTTTTTTAAAACAATGAACAACTCAGCTAAACAATAACACGGGTGAATCTCAAACTCATTAGCATGATGCTGAATGCAAGAAATCAGACTATTAAGAAGGCACGATGTATGATTCCACATACATAAAATTCTAGAAAACCTCAGGTCTTCAACAGAAAACAGACCCGTGCTGCTTCTGGGTGGGGCAGGGATGGGGAAGGCTATGTTGACGTTCCTGAATGTGGCAACGGGCTCCTGGGAATAAGCACCTATCAAAATTTATTCAATTGTAGACTGTAAATACATGGAGCCTTTTTACTTACAATCAAGCGGGTTTTTTTTTTAAAAAAACAAAACAAAGAGTAAAAGCTCATAAGAACACTCCAGGCTTTGCTTTAAGGATATTGTCCCAAACTCGGCAACAAAAGTACCCAACTCCAAGCTGATCTCAACGTTATGAGGAAAACTTGAAAAGGGTAGGAAATAGGATCACCCCTTATCACTTCCCTATTGTTTCCCCTACTTCACCTCCTCCTGAAATTTCTCAGGACAGCGTAGCCCTCTGTGTGGACTACGCCAATTCAATTTTCTAAGACGATGCAGTTCTCGATGGAAAAGACTGGGTTGGCATGGTGGTCACCGAGAACGGCTCCCCCCTTCCCTGTCCTGATGACCCGGGGAAGCACCTTGAGAAGATGCATTCTCAGTGGGGTTCTAGCCAAGTTCGAGGAGGGCAGAGAGTAAGGGCACAGTGTGTAAGTCGTCCACTCTCAAGGTGAACCATTTCACCCTAGCCCACTGGGGGATGCTCAGATGTGGATCAAACACCTGCCACATAAAAGTCTGGGCTGTTCTTGGAGGATCTTGGGACCTGGTGGAGCAGAACTTCCTGTGCCATGCTGCTTCTGAGCTGACATTCCAGAACTGCCAAGCCTTTCTCAAATCCTCAGGACCCGACGTCATCCCTCATAAGCCCAGTGATCCTCCATCTGCCCATACAGGCGCAGAATGTGTGATCCCAGTGGTGGCAGCCTATGGGCTTTCTCTCCTAGTGTCCTGTGACTTATGTCCCTCCTATGGGTTTGTGTCTGTCCTTTCTTGCTCAGCTCTCTTGGGAACGTGCCTGCGTCTTCAGGTTCCTTTGCCGTTCCCAACCATACTTAGTACGATGTAGCCATTTGTGGCTGCTGAAGAAACATTTTCCAGTGGCATATGCTAGAAGCTGCCATCCCTTTAGATAAACTGGTCCTGTTTTAGAAAAGCAACGGTGTTGATATTCCAGTTCCTTGGTACACACAAGGAGGACAGCGGTTTCTCCAGACAGCGCATCTTGGAAAAGGTGTCCAAAGATAAGAGCCCTCAGACAATGCATGCATCGCACACTGTGTCCACCCCGACACGCGACTCTTTATCCGCACGTGCCTCGAAGGACCCTCTGGAGCAGGGGTCCTTAAACTTTTTAAACAGGGGGCCAGTTCAATGTCCCTCAGACCCATTGGAGGGCCGGACTACAGTTTAAAAAAACTATGAACAAATTCCTATGCACACTGCACATATCTTATTTGGGGGTCAAAAAACAAATGGGGCACAAACACCGGCAGGCCGGATAAATGTGCTCGGTGGGCCACATGTGGCCCCTCTGGCCCTAGTTTGAGGATCCTGCTCTGGAGTCTGCACCTCGAGTCCACGTTCTGGTGCGGCTTTGCTAGTGGAAGCAGGCGGGCAGGTGCCAGAGCCTGTCTAGCTGGTCTTTACAGGGTGCAGTGCCGCAGCGGCTTTTGGGAAATGAAGACTCCATGCAGCAAACAGTACCTTTTTCTCCTTTGTCTCCAGGAAACCCTGGGAATCCTCTTCCTGGTAGACCTGGAGGACAAGGTCAAAACTGAGTAAGATGTCAAAATTCTCTTTCAGGGAAAGGCTCATAGAAGCTCAGTTGCTCATTACAGAATATGCAGAATGGGGTTCACTGCACTTTGGGGGTCGAATTATATTCCTACCATTGTCATAAAACACCCTTGACTAGCTATTTATAATTCAGTACTTTTTCCTAAGTATCTTTCAGCTCAGAGGCATTACAGCTATTAGTAGAAATAATCTGCATAAATGAGTATTTATTTCCTACTACTGTCTGGAGAGTAACAAAAAACCCCCATCACCGACCTCCCCCTCCCCACCAGACAACCAACCAACTACTTCTCTTAGAGGAGGGAGGGGAAGGCAGATAGAATCGAGGGAGCAGAAACCTCAGGTTTTAAATGTCAGTCAAGGGCTTGCAGGGAAGTTAACATGGGGGCAGCGGAGGTGCTTTTTTCTGCGAAGGAAGGGATAGAACACAAGTCCACAGTGCAGAGAGTGAAACGTGGGCCTAAGAAAGTGGCCCTCTAGTAACATGAATGAAACTCCCCGGGAGCCCCCTCCCCACCCATAGTGATGGTATCCTCTCTTCCTCTTCCCGATTCAGAGCGGCCCCTGTCTCTGATGTTGTGTTTATCACTCTCCTGCATTACGCATGAGTATGACAACATTAAGTGGCTGCCGTGGTCAGGGCTTGCAGCCCGCACTCATATGCCATGCAGTAGCTCTCGCACTGGTAACACGGGGCCAACACATATCCCCAGGACCATTTAGCTAAAGGATCCTCGAGAAGGGTGTAGTCGGGTTTCTTTGTTAGGGCAACTCTAAGGGGAATAGAGAGGGGAATATTTCGCTGACAGTCACAGTGCCTTAACCCAGCAGGTCTTTCTGGGTCCCTCACCCACTTGCTCCCCACTGCAAGGGGTCAGTGTTGCTAGGTAGGTGCCCACGAGCACTTGAGGACTAAAGGCATAGCCTCCTTTTCCCACCTCGTCCTCCTCCACCTGTTCACCTCTGGGAGTAAAAGGCTGAAAGATGTTGTACTTGAACTTCTGCCCCAGCAATGTCTGTGAGTCGCTGGGAGTGCCTCGTGCATATCCAAACGGAGGCTGCACGCGGAAAGGAAGTGGGCAGCCTACACGCACCTGGTTCTCCCTTCTCTCCCGCTGATCCAGGGATTCCATCACTCCCGGGCTCCCCCTTCTGGCCAGCTGGGCCTGTCGCGCCAGGCTTCCCAGGAAGACCTCAAAGAGAAAGGACACACCTGGTATCAGTCCCTCCCTGAACCTTTGTTAGTTGCTGGGTTAAATGGGCCCGCTTCCCTCGGGTCTTCGGATAGGCCCCTCCATCACGGCAGCAACAACATGAGGGGGCCCACAGAAGCTGGTGAAAGGGGAGAGGCGAGACATAAAACGCCCAGGCCCCAAACACACAAAACTGTTCCTTCAACTGACTGGAACTAGCTCTGAGAAACTAACTGTTGATGACTCCAGCCCCAGACCATCCAAGCCCACCACCAAACTGGGCCTGTCCCTCTGTCAAATGGAGGTGGGTCTCGGTGGCTTCCGGTCTCCTCCCGCAGCAGCATGTCTGGGGCCTACAATCCCTCGTCTCTGACAGACACTCCTGGAGGCTGCGCATTCCACACTGCCCATGGTCTTTGCTTGAAAACACGGCTCTCTACCTGCTTCTCCTTTGACTCCGGGGATACCATCCAGGCCTGGGAATCCTTTGTCACCTTTTTCTCCAGGCAATCCCGGGCTTCCTGAAGAAAAGCAGAACAGCGGACCGCTCGTAAGTGTGAGCGGTTTCGTGTCTTCTTTGAACCCCAGAGCCAGCAGGAATCACCTGTTCACCTACCTGGGTAGCCTACGCTCCCAGGCAATCCTTTCGGGCCGGGGGTCCCTGGCATGCCTGGAATGCCGGTGCTGCCTTTCTCTCCCTTCTCCCCAGGGCTTCCTGGGAAACCTGTCAAACCTGGGTCTCCCTGTGAGCAGAAATTGGGCACATTAATATTATATTTGTCCCTGGACGTGTGTTCATATGCACTTTCTGGGTAGTAATATAACTCTGGGTGGAACACATTGTACTGGAGAATCCTTCTTGTTTTTAAACGGAAGCCAAGTCTACTTCTGATCAGAGATGCAAACTGAGCAACCAAGAACAAAATAATAGCCAACGGTTTGATTTCTGTTGCACGTCTGTCGTCTGCATCCCTGCCTTCCTCCTTTTGTCTGCGACTCGAGCCTCCCAACATCGTCTCCCTTTTGGGAAGGGAGGTTGGTCTGAAGGGTGAGCAAGGACAAGTCTAAATGGGGGAGAGAGTCCCCTAGTCCCTGGTGACATAGCAGGTTATGAGTTGTCCTGCTGACGGCAAGGTCAGCAGTTTGAGACCAGCAGACACTCCACAGGAGAAAGACGAAGTTTTCTACTCAGCCTTGCAACCCCACAGAGGCAGTTCGACCCTGACCTACAGGGTTGCGATGAGTCGGAACCGACTCGATGGCGGTGAGGGGAGTTGATGATCCATTTCATGTGCTGAGATACAACACCATTTAAATCCCTTGAGAGAATTCTGCATTTAGACATATGGTATGGAACATTTCTACACAAGATGGTCATTACCTTGACTCCAGGTAGACCAGGAATACCAATGCCAGGTTGACCAGCCAGCCCTTTCTCTCCTTTGGCGCCTTTTTCTCCAGCCAAGCCAGGGGCACCCTGTTGGCCTGGAATTCCAGGCACACCTTTCTCTCCAGGTGATCCTATAAACACAAACAATCCAACCTTCACTTTGCTTTCATTAAATCTAGTGTTAATATTAAAGAGGAAGAGGCTTCTAGGCAGCCAGTCAAGGATGACGTCTAAGAGAACATAGACTCCCTCTCAAGTCAACCTATACATGAGCTGGGTGGACAGGAGACACCCCGGTGGCACACAGACACACGGAGGTGTTTCTCCTGGCTCATAAAGACCCTCGTTTTTCCAAAGAGAGAAGAAACACATGAATTCCTTAGATGACCGATGGATTTTATGTTATTACATCATCCGCTCTCATAATCTCATCAGAGGGACCCCCGAAGCCAGCCACGTCGTATACATGTACACTTGGACTTGTAATATATGTTAGAAGTCAAACTTCTTCAACAGATGCGGACAGGAACTTAGACTTTGATAGTGCAACCACAGTCATAGGAGCATCTGAAGACTCAGAGGGAGACGAGAAGACTGGCTTCTGCCTTGACTTTCCCTTTCCCGTGAGCCCTGAGACGTATCGCCCTTCAGACCCTCCAGAGCAGGATAAACCCACTATCTTTGCTCAAGTTGCTCCTTTTTGCCATTTCCTATGTGTCTTGGAAGAAGTACAACCAGAATGCTCCCAACAGGTAAGGGTGGCAGGACATGTGACCAGGTGAGACCAGTCCCTGAGAAGGCCATCGTGTTGGGTAAAATGAATGGGCAGCAAAAGAGGGGAAGGCCCTTGATGAGCCGGACTGACACAGCGCTGCACCAATGAGCTCAAGCACAGGAACTTGAGCTGGGGGACAGGAGACACCCCAATTGTGAGGATGGTGCAGGACCAGAGAGTGTTTTCCTTTGTTGTTCATAAGGTCTCTATGGTCTGCAACTGCTCAATGACATGGAACAACAACAGCAAGCAGCCTTGGTGATGCAGTGAATTCAGCTTTGGGCTGAAAATGAAGAGGTCGGCAGTCTGAACTCAACAGCTGCTCCGTGGAAGAAAGATGAGGTGCTCTGTAAAGATTTGGTTTCAGAAACCCTAGGTTTACTCTGGTCTCTAGCGTCACTCTAAGTTGGAATGGACTCAATGGCAAAAGTGTGTGTGTGTGTGTGAACACAGAAGGAAATTCTCAAGGAGCTCAGGTAGTGAAGTGGGATATGCACTGGATTTCTAACTACATAAGGTCAGCAGTTCAAAACCACCAGCTGCTCTGAGGGGAAAAGATGAGGATTTCTACTTCCACAAAGCGTTATAGTTTCAGAAACCAATGGGGACAGCCCCACCCTGTCTTAATGGGTCATTATGAGTGGAAATTGTTTCAACAGCAGTAAGTAAGAACAAATGCTCACAGCAAGATATTAAGGTCAACTCAGGGCTAGAGCCAAGGAGACTCGGTAATTCTTTTAAGCACAGAGCTTTAAGGTGTGTTTCTTGTGTTGACAAAATTAAACACATCCTGTGGAGATAACAGTCAATGGACAGGCCACCTGGAGATAATCAAACATTGGTTATGGAAAGTCTAGGTGTTGCTTTATTCAATTGCAACTTCTTCAGCATGGGCCATAGTGTCACCAGGCAGGAGGAAGTCCAAATTCCTGTAGAAGACACCTCTGCTAAATGATTTCCTTCAGTGAGACAAGATCTCCTTCTGCAACTTATGCTACCAGATCCTCACCTGGCAAGCCCATTCCACCGACTGATCCTTTCGGTCCAGGAAGTCCTGGAGCACCTGGGGTCCCACTTAAACCAGGATCGCCTTTAGGCCCTAAAATAATAAGGAGAGAACTTCCATTGATTAACTTTCACAAAAAGGTCAGAGTCACTTAATTTGAACATGAGCTTGCCCTGCTAGCCACCTGGGGTTACAGGCCATACCTGGTTGCCCGGGATACCCAGCTTGTCCATCCTTTCCAGGCATTCCTGGAGTTCCAGGATCTCCTCTGGATCCTCGATCACCAATTGGCCCCACTTGTCCTACACATCACAGAAGGTAAAAAACAACAACAGCCCATGACTCGAGTTTGTTTAAGAGGAAGATTATTACAACAACCCAAATGAGTCGGATACTAATTTAAGAGGTAAGAATTACTCTGGTTAAGCACACTGTGCTACTGCCATTATTAAAAGCCTTCCTCTAATCAGATTAGCAGACGCTTACCTTTTTCCCCTTGGTCGCCCTTCTGCCCCTTCATGCTGCCCATGTCCACTTTATCCATTGACCCAGGTTTTCCAGGAAGACCGATATCTCCTTTAGCACCTTTGAAGCCAGGGTCTCCTCTGGGTCCTGAGGAGCCTGGGAAGCCAAGGTCCCCTGTAGATGAAAGGAATGTACCCAATAAGATTTGGCCAAGTGTGTCCCAGGTTGTTCTGAAGTTTGATGAAGTGGCTGACTCAGAAGTTAGAAGCAACTAATAACATGTCCCCAAACAGCATTATAGTGAACTTCTGAGTTACACAGAAGACTATGGTCCAAAGTAAATGACCCATAAAACTATTTGCCAATAATTCTAATATGTGTGACTCTAGATGATTTAGTTAATTAATTTAGAGAACTTAGTTTTCTCTCCTTCCAGACTAGTTTTACCATTCTTGTTATAGTTTCCCTCAACTCTATATAATAATAATAATAATAGAATGGGATTTTTCATGCTCTACTAAACAAATGAACACTTTTATGAGTAACACTGAAAGTCAATTTCTATATCTACACATACAAATTGGTCAGATACACGTATGACCAATTGCAAATAGCAAGATCAGACCAAACATTTAAAACTTGTAAAGTTGCTCAGTTTGCTAATTTGATTCCGAGGACTTGCTCTCCGGGCCCTTGTATTCCTGAATGTCCTACTCGTTCTCCAAAAAAAAAAAAATTAAATTCAAATTAAATCTCAACAGAGCCAAGAGAGAACCCTGTCTTCTCTCAGGTACGCTTGGCAGGGCGCAGCTTCCAATGCTCCAAGCACGGGCACCGCGGCTACTCCTTCCTCCTGGAAGGCCGGAGCCTTCCACACACTTGCTTGATCTTCTTACATTATTTCCTCTGCCTCTTGAGATGAAAAATGAATTCCAACAACTCAAGAATTTCCCAGAAGGTATGGAGAACTAAAAGCATACAAAAGGAACCCACTTAGGAAGTTATCAAGCCTCTTACCTTTTTCACCGGGTAACCCTGGAGTGCCCGCTGGTCCGGGAGAGCCGGGCTGCCCAGGGGTCCCCATGACGCCCATTTCTCCTTTGGAACCTGGGGTCAAATGGAGAGATTATAACTGATTCCATCGTGGATGCTAATGGTAACCACCCAGGTCCCGGAGGAAACAACGCATCGACATTTTGTCCTCCAAATCTGAGGGAAGTAGAGCTTCATAAGATCGCTTACCTGGAAACCCTGGAAGACCAGGAGTTCCTTGTTGTCCAGGCAGGCCAGGGAGCCCCGACTGTCCAGTTAATCCGGGAAGTCCTTGCGACCCTTTATCTCCTTTTGGGCCCGGCATGTCCAATCCTGGGAATCCAGGGAAACCCTTCTCTCCTTTGATTCCGGGAGGGCCTGATGTTGGCGGAAGGGCAAGTAACTGTTAGTAGAATATAAACAATGTCCTCCCGTTTTTTCATGGTGCTTATCCCCTGCATTGTGTGAGAAGGGCTGCAAACCCGGCAGCATGGGTGGGTTGAAATGACAGGGAAACCCTTCTCTCCTTTGATTCCGGGAGGGCCTGATGTTGGCGGAAGGGCAAGTAACTGTTAGTAGAATATAAACAATGTCCTCCCGTTTTTTCATGGTGCTTATCCCCTGCATTGTGTGAGAAGGGCTGCAAACCCGGCAGCATGGGTGGGTTGAAATGAATTCCACATTCTAGGACTACTGATGTTTTTGGTCACCAAGGCAGTCGATGGAGAAACAACATCCAAAGGCAAAGGCCTTTTCCTTTCTGCCATCAAGAACTAGTGACTCTCCCTCTCCACCACCACCCCATTCATCCAGGGCCAGGTGTTTCCATTGGTCTCCAACAACGCTTCACCAACTGTCTGATCCCACACCCACCCTCACCGTCATTGTCTAAGGGTATCAACACAGGTGTTTCCATTGGTCTCCAACAACGCTTCACCAACTGTCTGATCCCACACCCACCCTCACCGTCATTGTCTAAGGGTATCAACACAGGTGTTTCCATTGGTCTCCAACAACGCTTCACCAACTGTCTGATCCCACACCCACCCTCACCGTCATTGTCTAAGGGTATCAACACTGGCGACGGCTGCTTCTGGACACAGATTCAAACAGTCTAATCGATTCACACCTAACTTATCCTCCTTTTAGAAAGATAACTCAAAGACTAATCATCTTGAATTAAACAAAGACGTTACTAATCATAATCCCTAATCATAGTAATAGACATGCTTTGTTTGGTAAGTTCAGTGACGATGAGTAAGCATGCCCCTAAACGTTCGTCAAAACTGCGGTCACAAATTAGAATGCACTTCTTTTTCTTTTGTTTCACACGTATTGATCATTTCACACCAAGACCCTAGCATCACCTCCTAACCCCTCCTGAGAGGTGATTCTAGAATGTTACATCACCTATTGATCCTGGTGGCCCCTGTCCTCCTGGGGGGCCCATGGCACCAGGGGGCCCTGCTCCTGGAGCACCCACAGATCCCTTGGGGCCTTGTAATCCTGGAGCTCCAGGTTCACCTGGTCAGAAGAGGGGGGAAAAATGTGAAAAAAACTACCCGGGGACCATCTTGTTCATAACACATTAATTTCTTATACGATAAGCACAACAGAAAACCACAAACACAAGCCGTCTAAGGTTTTCATCATTTACACATGTAACCGACATTTATTGACCTAGTTGGTACTTTGGAGATTCACACACACACACACACACACACACACACACAGAGTCACTGCATGGTCTACAATGATCTGTAAGATGCTTACCTCTGATTCCCTGGAGCCCGGGAGGGCCAATGGCACCATGTTCTCCAGGAATGCCTGGTTGACCAACATTCCCCTTTTCTCCGGGTGTGCCGGGAATGCCAGGCAGACCTGGCAATCCTTTCAGTCCTGGTAGACCAACTCCAGGCTCTCCCTGAAAGTTGTCAAAACACAGACACGCACGTTAACTCAGCAAAGTCAATATCTTTTTCAAGAAGCCAAGGGTATAGGTGAAGATTGTTAAGTGATATACTGGGCATCTTTGGCAAGAAGATTTCTATTCAACTCTCCAGTGTAGTTTCCTCATGCTTACTATTTCTAATCAACCTCACCACAAGCTTATCATTTTAATTTTATGGGGAAAAGTCAAAACGGAAAAACTGAATGACTTATCCAAAGTCGCAGAGGCAAGATTTCGAATCAAGCCTTCGATCTGCCCTTTCTGCCTTGTGCTGCCTTCTGTTGGTGGTAAGAACGGACTGGAACTCGTTGACAAAATGCAAAGGCAGCCAGTTAACTGATACTTCAGAAGAGATGGCAATACTGCAGGCCTATGAGGGCTTTCAAATCTAATTACAAACGTCGAACTCCTCTATGACTCAGGCATCTTTGACAAACACTGATGATTAAAAATAAAGGAAGTCGTTTACAGAGTCCCACCACTCATTCACAACCGACTCATTTGATCAAGGCCAAGCAAGGAAGCAAATGCACGGACACCAGATGATCTGCTTCACTGATGTCCGTGACCAGGGATGACCCAGCGGGAGAGTGCTACCAGACAAATGCCAGCGTCCATTCAGGAAGAAACTGCTCAGAAAACCAGGACCAGAAGGGAACTTTCTCAGCTTGATGAAGAGCACCGTGAAACAACTAGAGCTAACCTCACACTTGATGTTGAGCGATCGATGCTTCCCCTCAGATTGGGCATAGGACAGGGATATCCCTCGCACCCGCCAAAGCCAACATTGGACTGGAAGTCCCAGCTCAAGCCATCAGCGCTTAAGAAAAGGAAACGGAAGTTCTCCGGGTTGGTAAGAAGTGAAACTCTCCTTGTTCACGCACGACATGATTGTCTGTGGAGAGGATCAACACGGGAGTGGGGGTGGGAGAAAGGCTCTCTGCAGGAAATAAGGGACTGTAGCAAGGTTGCAGGGTCATGTAGGAAAGCTACTGCTCACCTACGCACCACCAACGAGCACCTGGAGTTTGAAATGGGCACGCCTGCACTCCTGGGCATTGTTAACGTCAATGCATGCTCCAGCAGGGGGGAAAAAAACCACAAAATGGAAGGGGCTCATATCAGGGAAATTTTGTTAAGGCATAATATTTTAAATCTAACCCTTGGTTCCAATTGGAAGGAGAATTCCAATCCACTTGGTGTTTACTACCTCGTAAGCCTGGCGTGTTGAAGGTGATTAATCTGCTCCCAGTTGAACTAATTTTAAAAATCAAATGACAATGCCAGAGGAAGACTGGGTGGCTGACTGTGTACAGATAAACGTGCCAAGGGGTTCTGCAGTCTCAAGCACACTGGAAAGGGATACCATGATTTACAATATG